AAATAACAACATACTAAATGACAGGGACTATGTTGATCTGTTCTAGGAAAGCTATAACATCTTGTTCGCAACTTAATTAGGGCTACTACTTATGTTCAAGGAGCTCTGGTAGCGTAGTGGTTACGAATTGGGCTGCTAACTTAAGGTCAGCAGTTTAAAACTGCCAGTCGTTCCGTGGAAGAAAGATGAGGCTTTCTGCTCCCATAAAGATTTATAGCCTCAGAAACCCTGTGCAGGGTCACTATGAGTCAGAACCGACTCCACAGTACTTAACAACAGCAACAATTTATGTTCACTGTTGCTGTTGGAACTTTGTATCTTCCTTTTTGGGGGTGGGAGATCAGAACATTTTCATTTGTGCAAGGCATAGGTGCATCTTGTTAGGCAGAAGCATGAAGCTGTTATTGCCTAAATATGTACAGAGAGCTATCTCTAAGTCCTGAATGGACAAAGGGGTGAACAGTACTAGTTATTTATTTCCTCTTAGTTGTTTGCTCTAAGGTGATGGGTAGGCATGGGCCTCTTCAGACTCATTTCTCAGATTCCATGGCTTTCTGGTATATTCTGCTAATATGGGGCACTAAAGGGACGGTGGAAGACAGAAGGGAGAAGGGACTTCTTCCCATTTTTCCTATTTTTATCAGTGTCACTCTCTCAGTAGAAGTTAGTCCCAGTCTTTAAGTTCTTTATACATTCTGAGAAACAGCCTGGTAAACGTCTCTGAGCTCCTGGTTGGTAGGTTGTGGCAACCTCTTCCTTTTTGATTCCTTAGCTGTAGTTCCTGTCTACTGTTACTAATCGTAGTAGGTTGAATTATGCCCATCAGAAAAGGTATGTTCAAGTCTTCCCCCACCCATCCCTGTGAATGTAACCTTTTTGTGAAATATAAGGATATCAAGATGAAGTCAACCTGATTGAAGGTGGACTTTTGTTGTTAGGTACAGTTGAGTCAGTTCCAAGTCACAGCAACAGCAACGCTCTGCATAAAAAGATGAATCACTGCCCAGTTCTCCACCATCCTCACAATTGTTCTTATGCTTGAGGCCCCTGCTGCCGCCACTGTGCCAATCCATAAGGTGGTCTCTAAATCCAATCAATGGTGTCCTTAGAAGAAGAGGATAGGCTATACACAAACACGCAGAGAAGAAGGTGATATGAAGATGGAGCAGAGATTGGGGTTATGCTGCCATAAACCAAGGAATGCCTGGGGTCGCCAGAAGTTGAGAGGGACAAAGAAGGATCCTTCCTGGAGTCTTCAACACCTTGATTGTGCCTCCAAAACTGTGAGAGAATAAATTTATGTTGTTATAAAGTGTGGTGCTGTGGGTTAATGCGCCAGACTGCAAAGCAATTTGAACTGCTAGGTTGGCGGTTTAAGCTCACCAGCTGCTCCTTGGAAACCCTATACAGGGTTGCTATGGGTCGGAATCCAACAAATCAGCTGTATGCTGAGCAAATAATCTGAGAAACTGGATTCTATGAAGAACATGGCATCAGGATTTGAGGAAGATTCATTAATAACCTGCCATATGCAGATGATAAGACTTTGCTTGCTGGAAGTGAAGAGAACTTAAAATACTTACTGATAAAGAGCAAACATTCTGTGTATTCCTTCCATTTTCTTATGATTCTTTATCATTCTCTCTCTCTCTCTATATATATATATATTATCGTTCAATATTTTGCCCATAGAATCCTTCAGTATTTCAAGTGGAGACTTAAATTTTTTCCTCAGTTCTTTCAGCTTGAGAAATGCTGAACGTGGTTTTCACTTTTGGTGTTCTAACTCCATGTCTTTGTACATTTCATTAAAATATTTTACTTTATCTTCTCAAGTTGCCTTTTGAAATTTCTGTTCAATTCTTTTATCTCCTCATTTCTTCCATTTACTTTAGCATCTCTATGCTGGAGAACAAGTTACAGACTCTCTTCTGACATCCATTTTGGTCTTTTCCATTTTTCTTGTCTTCTCAATGACCATTTGTTCTCTTTCTGTATGATGTTCTTGATTTAACCCCAAACTCTTCTGGTCTTTAGTCATTAGTGTCTAATGCATCAAATCTGTTCTTCAGATGATCTCTAAATTTATGTGGAATATGGTCAAGGTCATATTTTAGCTTTCATGGCTTGTTTTCATTTTCTTCAGTTGCAGCCTAAACTTTCATATGAGCAATTGATGGTCTTTTTCACAGTCTGCCCCTGGTCTTGTTTTGGCTGATGATAGGGAGTTTTTCCACTGTCTCTCTTCATAGATGTAGTTATCTTGATTTCTGTGTATTCCATCTAATGAGGTCCATGTATATAGTTATCTTTTATGTTGTTTTAAAAAGGTACTTGCATTGAAGAAGTTATTGGTCTTGCAAAATTCTATCATGTGATCTCCAGCATCATTGCTATCACTAAGGTCATATTTTCCAACTACTAATCTCTGGTAGTGTAGTGGCTACGAATCAGGCTGCAAACCTTAAGGTCAGCGGTTCAAAACTACCAGCTGCTCCGCTGGAGAAAGATGAGGCTTTCTACTCCCGTAAAAATTTACAGCCTCGGAAACCCTGTACAGGGTAGCTATGGGTCGGAACCGACTCGACGGCACTTAACAACAACAACAATCCTTCTGATTAGTAGATGCAAACAACGTATTGCATTAGGCAAATCTGCTGCACAAGACCTTTTTAAAGTGTTGAAGAACAAAGATGTCATCTTGAGGACTAAGGTGTGTGCCTGACCCAAGCCATGGTATTTTCAATAACCTCATATGCATGTGAAAGCGAACAGTGAATAAGGAAGATTGTAGAAGAATTGATGCTTTTGAGTTATGGTGTTGGAGGAGAATATTGAAAGTGCCATGGGCTGTCAAAAGAACCAATAGATCCGTTTTGGAAGAAGTACAGCCAGGGTGCTCCTTGGAGGCCAAGATGGCCAAACTTCGTCTCTCATACTTTGGACATACAGTCAAGAGGGACCAGTCGCTGGAGAAGAATATCATGTTTGGTAAAGTGGAGGGTCAGAATAGCCAATCCCAGTCCATTTCAGTTCACTGTTGTTGTCAAGTGCCATTAAGTGGGTTCCGACTCATAGCGTCCCCATATAGGATTTCTGAGGAGTGTCTTGTGAATTTGAACCACTGATCTTGAGGTCCACTAATGCCTAGGTTAGCAATGTTTATGTGTTCCAATTCATTTTTGACAACTTCCAATTTTCCTATATTCATATTTCTGGTGTGGCTCTGGGGGTTAATGTGTTGGATTGCAAAGTAGGTTTGATTTTCAAGGTCAGTGGTTCAAGCTCACCACTCCTCAGAATTCCCATACAAGGCCGCAATGAGTCGGAACCAACTCGCTGGCACTTAACAACAAAAATACTTCATACATTCCATGTTTCTATTATTAATAGATGTTTGCAGCTGTTTCTCCTCTTTTGAGTTGTGTACATCAGCAAATGAAGGTCCTGAAAGCTTCACTGCATTTGCATCATCATGGTCAACTCTACTTTGAGAAGGCAGCTTTTCCCCAGTTGTATTTTGAGTGCCTTCCAACCTGAGGGGCTCATTGTCTATATCTGACAATATTCTGGTACTATTTATAATGTTTCAATGTTCAGTATGCTGGTGCTATCTGACAGTGTCCTACTGCTATTCATAAGGTTTTCAGTGGCTAAAAATTCAGAAGTAGTCCACCTTTCCTTTTTCTTAGTCTTTGGTCTGGAAATTCAGTTGAAATCTATCCACCTTGGGTGACCCTGCTGGTATTTAAAATATTGGTGGCATAGTTTCCAACATCACTAGCCACCATAGTACAAACTGACATGAAAGTGGTGGACTAACAGAGTAGAAGTGTGAAATGGATGGGTGGGTGGAGGCCAAATGGACAGATGAGATGAAGCCCCTTTATTCAACAGGAAATGTTTTCTGTGGGAGCTGGGGATTTTAGTAGATGAGAACCCTAGAACAGGCTGAGTAGAGCAATGTGACACCTGGAAGCAGGATTGAGGGGGAGCAATAGGGAGGTTCTGGTGTGGCACAGTGGGCTAATGCATCAGACTGCAAAGTCGTTTGAACTGTAAGGTTAGTGGTTCAAGCTCACCAGCTGCTCCTTGGAAACCCTATACAGGGTCCCTATGGGTTGGAATCGACTTGATGGCAGTTAACAACAATAGGGAGGAAACTAGCAATATGTGTTTACCTCAGTTTCCCTACCTCCCTGTGCAATCAGTTATGTGGGGCCCTTGTGGCCTTGCATGGGATCAATGACTCCATTCATCGTGGGTTGATGGCATCATGCAGCAATGCTGGAAACCAAGGAGTTAACCTTTAGCCCAGCTGGTTTGGAGTGGTGTGAGAGGGTAGGGGAGAGGGGGAGCAAGTGTCTTGGCTGTCACTACCTCCAGCTGCATTGGCATCACTGTGGGCAACAGCTCCACTGCTGGGAATCTCCACGGAGCCTGGAGGCCTTAGCTGCTTGTCCAGAGCGACTCCCGGTGTTGGGCTCCTACTACTGATGCTCCATTCCCATCCCCCTCGCCAGCAGAAATGGACTCCTTAGGGCTCTTGCCGACATGGACACAGGCAGACAAACGCAATTCTTCTGACTGCGTCTTAGCTGTCTAGGTCAGCAGAGATGAGCCACCTGCTCTCTCCGGATGCAGCTCAAGGCCTGGCAAGAATACCAAAGCAGAATGGGTTGGGGCAGCACTGTGATGGGGTTGGGAGGTGAGGACCGCCATTCTTTAGGCAACAGGGAGAGAAATCAGAAAGACAACCACCCATCACAGGTTAGACAAAAAGGAAGGAGAGGCGCGGAGCTCTGAGACGCGACACGAAGAGTCCCGGGTCCTGAGAGTGGGGATGAGAGACAGGCCAGATGCCCCCATTAATTCCTGCTTGTCTCAGGGGTCCACTCTGTCAGCCACGAAGTCCCGGGCCTTCCCCTCCCCCAAACCCTGCATCCTCTACGGATTGGTCCCCGGCCTGCTGGGGGGCGGAGTTCTCGAGCTCTGACGTCACGGGCCAAGGGGGGGGGGCTCTCAAGCGACGGGGGGAGGGGGTGACGAGCCCCGGCTCAGCACCTCGGAGAGCTCCCTCCCCGGCCTTGTTTTGCTCTGGAGTCACCGCCGGGGGAGGGAGCGAGGGGGCCGGGCCGCTAAGCGCGAAGGCAGGGGGATGGCCGCGGAGGGGTCTAGGGGCCCCGGCGGGCAGAAGGCCCAGCCGTAAGCCGGTAGAGAGGCCGGACGCCGGGTGGGGTGCGGTGGGGGGGGCGGCAGGCGGTGGTAGCAGTGGCCGCACATCTGGATGGAAGCGAGCTTTGTCCAGACCACCATGGCTCTGGGGCTGTCCTCCAAGAAAGCATCTTCCCGCAACGTGGCCGTGGAGCGCAGAAATCTGATCACCGTGTGCAGGTGGGCGCCTATGACGGGAGGGCGGGATGGTCAGGGAGTGTGGTTGGGGCGTCGAGGGTGCCTCATTTGGGGAGAACTTGGAGGGAAGCAAAGGGTTAAAAGTGCGGGTCCTTGGCCTCTCCCAGGCCCAGAACGGGAAAGCATTGAAGGTCTGTCCCTACCCTTCTAGGCCCAGACAGGCCCCTGCACAACCTGGAACCTAGGGGGTGGGGTGGGCTTAATCGGCACTGCAGCTTCCTGTGAGAACCAGGAAGTGACATTGTGTGTGAGGGGGAGGGTGGACCAACAGTTGATGGAGGGATGACTGTTTTCCTGGCGTTCCCCCACCCCAAGTATGTCAACTGAGCCTCTCTGGGGTGGGGCTTTGCCTGGGAGACTTGCCTCCACCCAAATCTTGGAGCAGGGACTATGACCTCCTCCATCTCTGGGTGGCTGCAGCCTGTGGCAGGATAGCCTGGGCAAGTAGGCAAAGCACTGAGTGGGCCCAGACAGTGGTGAGGAGTGCTGCTCCTTACCATGGGAAGAAAACTAACCAGCTGGCCCTGGAAGCCTGAGCTCTTTGGAGCGGAGGATGAGGGCAGGGCCCTTGGTCCCTGAGGGTGGGGCAGGGCTGTAGCAGTGTTGGGAAGACTCACCAGTTCTCTTGGGACCCAGGAAAGGATCTTTCCCACTTCAGCCCTGCAATCACTTACCCTCCTTATTCTGCCCTGGAGCTAAGAAGTGACCTACAGTCCCTCAGCAGTCTAGCCACACTTCTTCATCTGGGGTCTCCATGCAAGTGCATTCTCTCTGCCTTCTACCTCTCCTGCCCATAGGTATTGGAGAGTAGGTCTTCTCAGGCCAGGGGAGCTCTAGGGGCAAAGCTCAGCAAGCTTCTCTTGCCAGCCCCACCTGTCTTGCACACAGGCCTTGGCCCTGCCTCTTCCCCCAGGAATCAGTGTCCACTGGATGTCCTATTTCCTCCTATTGTTCCTTCCAGATTCCTGGGCACACACCCAACCATACAGTGTCTGTCTTATACCACTACGACCCTACAGTGATGTGCACATCAGTCCTTCCACAAAAATGCTTTGAATGTTATGGAAGGAAAAAGTGCAGCTATGACCGGGCTCAGAGTACAGGCTGCTGTCCCCACCCTTACTCCCAATGCGACAGTCGGCCTTTGGGGCCAAATGGTCCTACGTTCAAGCTTTTACTTCACCATTTATTAGCTGTGCAATCTTGGGGAAATCTCCTGACCACTCTGGGCCACGGGCGCCTTATCATGCCCATGTTTGTAAGACATCTCAGAGAAATGTCTTGGCTCTGACAAGATACATGTAGGGACCCAGCACAGTGCCTGGCACAAAGAAATAGCCACAACTTAACAACACTCCTTCCATCCCTCTCCATCTCCCAGGCTCCTCTTCTTTATCTTGACTGCCAGGATAGCTGAAGCTCTTGAGTGTTGTGGGGAACGGGAGAACCCCTCACCCCAGCATAGACTGGAAATGCAGGAGGTGGGCTCAGAGCTGGGATAAGGGGTAGGGTATTTGGGGACCAGGGCAGGGAGGGCCAAGACTCAGAAACCCACAAGTCCTTGCCTCTTCATCACTGTCACATGGTTTGCCTCCAGTTCCCAGAACAGCTTCCTTTAGCAAGCCAAGGGTTCCCCTGGGTCCTGGCCTTTCTGTCTCCATGGTAATCTATAGCAGCCATTGCACCTCCTGAGAACACCCCATGGGGCTCCTGAGGATTGTGACCAGCTTTGCAGCACCCTTGAAGACAGATGACAGGATGACAGATAGCTGCCACACTGCACCTAGTCCAGGCCCCTACAGAGGCCTGACACAGATGACCAGAGGAAATCATCAAGCGAGGGTTATCATGAAGCCTAGACTCCCTCCCTAAACACTGTCTCTCTCAGTAAGACTAGCCTCTCACTGCTGGCCCAGCTTCTCACCACCTTTTGCCCAGTGGCCTGTACATACTTCCCTTCTCCTAGTCTTGCCTAACACAGGGACCAATACTGAATGAAGTAGGTATAGTTATCTCTGTTTGCCCACAGGAAAATGAGCTCAGAGAGGTTGAGTGACTTGCCCAAGGCCACACAGTGTTACAAGAAAACAAAATTTGAATCCATTGGTCTGCCTCCTTCTACTGTAACTCTAATCATGACCTACCTGACTTTTATCTCAAACCAGCACAACTCTGAGCCCAAAGAAAGGGAGGGGAGTCCCATGAGTTCAGCTGTGCCATGGGTCTGTGAGTCTCAGAGGTTGGTATTCCAGGGATGGAGCCTTGCAGGGTGGAAGAGAGAAGACAGAGGAGTTGGGTTGCTCAGGGCCCTGAGTGTGACAGCTACCGAGGCTGGGATGTAGCAGAAAGAGCAAGGGACTTGGTATCAGACATACTTGCTTGATTCCTTACTAGTGACGCTGAACAAATCAATCTCTTGGAACCTCAGTTTTCTTATCTGTAAAATGGGGATGATGATGATGATAAGAGGACCTATCCCAGGGCTGCTGTGGGGACTGGATGAGGCAACACATGCAAAGTATGGTGGCACAGTATAACCGTAGGATGAAAAATGGACAGTTTCAAGCAGCCCCTGGTGGTCCTCTCCCCTGCTCTGTCATCCACATCAGGGCAGCCATGAGATTTTGGGAGCTGTATCCTTGTCCCCGCCCAACCCTAAAGCAGGGGAGGGATTGCAGAGGAAGCCTGAGACTTTGAGTAACTCCTTCCTTGCTGGGAAGCCAGGTGCCTGGGCCTTAAACTCTCCTACAAGGAAATACTGCCAATGCTCCCTCTTGCCTAAAGTGTGTATCAGACCCATACCCTGCACTGTCTCCCCCTCCACCCCAGCTCTGCATAGCTTAGATCTGGGCAGCTGGTGTGTGGGCAGCCAAGATGGAAAGAAAAGGGGGAAGGGGGATATCCATTGCTGAGAGTCCGCCTGGCCACCGATGTGTGCCCACGATCCATGGGCACAGTGCCAATCACATGCCATGGCACAGGTGACTCTCTGCTCCCTAGAAGGGACAGCAGGTTGTCCCACGAATAAAGAATAGTGGAAGCCACCTTAGGTCAGAGTACAAAATGGCCTACCTGCTCCTGTATGACACATATAGAGAATGATAATGAAGGGGCATCAAGGAGGAAAGGGCTCCTTGGAGATGGGGCTATGGGATAACCCCTTAGCTTTGATGTCTCATCTTTCTACTTAATGTTTCAATACCTCCCATACTTCATTTCCAAAGATTCCTCTTTCTAGGTTTCACCTCTCCTGTCACCCACTTCATCGGTCAGTCTTCTCCCTGTTATCCTCCCTACCTGCCACTCTGTCACATCATGTCATGGCACTCATAGGGTGACTGTATTCTCACCTGTCACCCATCTTTTTCCCTCTGCCTTCCCACCACATCCATGCCTTCTCCTCTGCCTCCCCCACCCTGTCTTCTCACCTGACACTAACCATCTCCCTCCCCAAAGGTTCTCTGTGAAAACGCTCCTGGAGAAGTACACAGCCGAGCCCATCGATGACTCATCTGAAGAGTTTGTGAATTTTGCAGCCATCTTAGAGCAGATTCTCAGCCACCGTTTCAAAGGTGGGCCCAAGCTCTGGCCCCCCAACTCCTAGCCCTTAATATTCAGTCACATCACTTTATAAGCTCATGGCTTTCTGATCCCCATCACTGACCCTGTGCCTGATTCTGGGCCCTGCACAGAAGCTCATGAATAGAGCTGACAGGAGGGGAGGGGCCTTTCTGGGCACACACAGTGGATGCCCACCAGTCCCTTCAATGGGCATGAGCTTTTAGATGTCTGTGCCCTCTGTTTGCATGCATGCATGCATGTGCACACGTTTGGGCTGGTTGTGTATGGCTACCTATACTTATGCTGGCTACCTATACTTATGCATGTGTGTGCTCCCTTACATGGCCGCTCTCCAACCTCCCTGGCCTTTCTGAGCCCCCTCCCTGCCCTGGCTCAGCCTGTGCCCCAGCAGGTCCGGTGAGCTGGTTCAGCTCAGACGGGCAGCGGGGCTTCTGGGACTACATCCGGCTGGCCTGCAGCAAAGTTCCCAACAACTGCGTGAGCAGCATCGAGAACATGGAGAACATCAGCACAGCCCGAGCCAAGGTAAGGGGGCGGGGCGGGGCGGGGCGGGGCCAGGGCAAGGCTCTCAAGCACTGGAGCAGGACGCCCGCCTACCTCTTAATATTCAGCTTTGCTCACAGGCATTGCTAAGAGAAAGCCACAAAGATCCCTCTGGGACTGCAAATGAAGATAAGCTTGCTTTGCAGGGCCGGGCCTGGATCAGGGTGGCACTAATGGAAAAGCGCATGTCAGAATACATCACCACGGCGCTGCGGGACACCAGGACCACCAGGTCAGACCCTGCTGGTCAGTCTGGCCACGGGTCCCAGTATGCATGTTCATTGTCTAAAAACACTTCACAGAGGCGAACTTCAGCTATCTGGACTACAAGTCCCAGCATGCATTACTCATTCCTCTCTCCCAGATTGTTCCTAATGGCTGCCCTGCTCTCCTGGAACTCACTCATATCACCACAACCATTATCTCCAAGTCAAATTCTAGGCCCTGTTTATCTCCCACCACTCACATTTTGCACAGCTGTATCCTTGGAAAGGCTTCTGGACAAGCCTCAACCATGTATCTTTCTCCTTGTTGGTCTTGTTCCATGACCTTCGACACAAATCCTTACCTGCTCCCTAGATAATTACAGCAATTAGGTACTTGCTACGGTGACTGCAGACTCCCAGCCTGTAGGTTCAACCCCTAGACTGTGGGTCTTCAGGGAGATTAAGATCAGATTCCTGTGTTTGAAGCTATTGGATGTTTGAAGCTGGGGCATGTACCCCACTACACAATCTCCTTCACCCCTAGGGTGGCCACACCCAACCTAACATTTTACTGCATCTATCTCATTTGTCCTGACATTTCAGAGTTCAGGTCAACATATTTTTGAACTCCTAGTATATATTAAGAGTTCTGGTGTGGCACTGTAGGATAAGTGCTAGACCAGCAAACTCGGTTTGAACCACATATGGGCAATTCAAACTCACCAGCTGCTTCCCTGAAACCCTATACAGAGTCATTATGAATTGAACCTACTCAAAAATAGCAATATATGCTAAGTCTTGATAATTTAGTTCCCTGGGTGATTCAGTACTTGGTGGGAAAGGACAGTTTGGAGGCTGGAAGAGGGCTTATTCTCAGGAAGCATCTTTTCTGTTAGGTGGGAGATCCAGGAAAGGCTGGGAGGAAGCCAGCAAAAGTCTTGAGGGTGGGATAGAGAGGAGGTGGGTAGTGGGCCATCAGTCCCTCCCTTGTGCCGCAGACGGTTTTATGACTACGGTGCCATCATGCTGCGCGAGGAAGCCACAGTCCTTACCGGGATGCTGATAGGCCTGAGCGCCATAGACTTCAGGTGGGGGCTGCGTAGTGGTATGGGGATGTTTCCCCCACAAACTTCCACACCGATATCCTCTCCTGCCTGGCCCCAACCCTTTGGGTCCTCTGCCTCAGCTTCTGCCTAAAGGGTGAAGTGCTGGATGGGAAGACCCCCGTGGTCATCGACTACACACCCTACCTGAAGTTCACCCAGAGGTGAGCAGTTGGGGTTACGGTGGGCTCAGGTGACCTAAGGCTCTGATGGGTGGTGATGAAGGTGGGGAGGGCCATCATCTTATCTTGGTTTGAGATGCGAGGCAAAGCAGGTGCTGGCTCGCACCCACTGCTTCCCCTTCAAAGCTACGACTACCTGACGGACGAGGAGGAGCGGCACAGCGCGGAGAGCAGTACCAGTGAAGACAACTCGCCAGAGCATCCGTACCTGCCGCTCGTCACCGACGAGGACAGCTGGTACAGCAAATGGCACAAGATGGAACAAAAGTTTCGAATCGTTTACGCACAAAAGGTGCGCGCCTAGTGGGGGGTAGGGGTGTGGCAGTGCCGGGACTGAGCTCAGCCAGAGGGAATCCGGTGCTCCCATCCCCATCCCGGGCTGAGCCAGTGCCCTGCAGGGTTACTTGGAGGAGCTGGTGCGCCTGCGCGAGTCACAACTGAAGGACCTGGAGGCGGAGAACCGGCGGCTGCAGCTGCAGCTGGAGGAGGCGGCAGCGCAGAACCAGCGTGAGAAGCGGGAGCTGGAGGGCGTAATCCTGGAGCTTCAAGAGCAGCTGTGAGCGTGCTGCCCTGCCCTTGCCCTTAGTCACCGGGAGCATGTGCCCCCAGCAAACCCCATTATCGAAGGATCCCCAAGGGATGTCACCCCATGGCTCTAACTTCACCTTTCTTGACACCAGCATCCAACCGCCAGCATTAATCCACTGATCTAGAATTTTCACCCCAATAACTCCGATGACTTCACATCTCGACTCCTCAATATAAGTTACACCCCAGTTTCACCCTCCGTAACTGTAAGAATCAACTAGAATGACCATCCAACATTACTCCTCAACCCCGACGTTACTCACAAGGACCTCTAATCTTACTCAGCCACCATGGGCCCAACACCCCTGGGATTCTGCATTCTTACTCCTACAAATAAAGCATTTCCACCAAACCTCATCACCCCATGATCACCCAACATGACACCCTAAGGATTCTCACAAGGTTCAGGGATTCTCAGACTACTTTCCACGGATCCCATCACCCTAACTGACTCCCACACCACCCCATTATGCCCTCTGTTGTGGTTACGTGTGCCGTGGAGTGGGTTCCGACTCATAGCGACCCTGTACAGGGTTTCTGAGGCTGTAAATCTTTACAGGAGCAGAAAGCCTCATCTTGCTCCTGCGGAACAGCTGGTAGTTTCGAACTGCTGACCCTGAGGTTAGCAGCCTGATTCGTAACCACTCCGCTACCAGAGCTCCTTAGTATGCCCTCTAGCCCCCAGTATTACATTATGGAGTTCTGGTGTGATGCTGTAGGATTAACACTTCACAGCTAACCATGAGGTTGGTGGTTCAAACCCACCAGTAGTTCCTCAGAAATCCTATACGGGGTCAGCATGAGTTGGGACCAACTGGACAGCACTAACAAGCCCCACCACCCCTCTGACTGCCATTACCACCTCCATTAACACCCAGGATTTTCCCACTGACTCAACGTTGTAGTCTCATTTGTTTCCCAGATTTCATCCCACCTCTACTGAGTCTCCTTTTCTCACTTCTGCTCCCTCTCCCCCCACCCCAGGACGGGTCTGATCCCCAGTGACCACGCCCCCCTGACCCAAAGCTCTAAGGAGCTTACCACACCCTTGGTCAACCAATGGCCATCACTGGGAACACTCAATGGGGCTGAGGGTGCCAATAACCCTAAGCTCTATAGAAGGTAAGTCCCAGTCAGGTTCAGCTTGGGTACTTCTGGAGAAGGGGCATACTGGGGCTGGAGGTCACTGCCTGCAAAGTCAGCTCTGCTTTCGGCTACAGGCACAGCTTCATGAGCACGGAGCCACTGTCAGCTGAGGCCAGTCTGAGCTCAGACTCCCAGCGCCTGGGAGATGGCAAGCGAGATGAGGAGCCCTGGGGTCCCATCGGTGAGCGCCCCTCCCCACCAGTCAGCTCTTCTTCAGGGGCTACTGAGATCAGTGCAGTTCCCTCCTTTTCACCTCCCTTCCTGAAAACTTAGTTTTGCTTGGGGTGTCAGGGCAACCTGGATGTAATAAATCCTGGCTGCATTAGCTTGGCCAAATACTTCTGAGCCCCATCTCATCTGTAAAATGGGGTTGCTGATTAAAGTACCTACCAGTGGCTGGCACATGGTGAGGACTCAGTAGGTCTTTGCTTCTTATCAGGGGTTCACCAATTCAGCCTAAGTTGTTCTTTTCTCCAGAACATTTCAGCTGCTCTCCTGACCATTGTATCCCTTTTCTTTGGCTGCCAGGAAGCTGAGAGCCAAATTAGCGGCTCCCTTCGAGCGAATGTTCAGGACTTCAACGCATGCATTTTGTGTTGACCTCACCCTTGGCTTCATCTTGGTTTTCCTCACCCTAGTTCTTCCTGTGCCTGGATTTCCTGGTTTTTTGTTTTTTTCCTTAAACCACACTTGGATGACCCTAGGGTTTTTTTTTGAGTCAAGGCAGGTTGTGGATGTGAAGCGAACCCGTCCCTCTCACTGCTGTTTGTGATTGTCTGTCTCCCCAACCAGACTGTGAGCTCCATGAGGGCAGGAACCCGTCTCGTCCATTTTCTGTATCTCCAATGTTGGAACACAGCCAAGTGCTTACTGTGTGCTTAATAAATGGAGAGGCTGAGCCTCTGGGGGAGACAGAGACCTAAGTTGGCGATTCCTAGTGTCCCGGGTATCCAACACTGGGCACAGCGCTGGCTGGCTAACTGAAAAGGACAAATGCTGCCAAAGAGATCAGTAAAGTCCCCTGGGGGGATGACCTTACAGCTGTGCCTTCATTACTTCCTCCCATACACATCCCCCTCCCCTGCCAATCACACACATGCAGCTCAGTCAGCTGGCCTCACCCAACCTCTCTCCCCAGGGAAGGACCCCACGCCCTCCATGCTGGGCCTCTGCGGCTCCCTGGCCTCCATCCCCAGCTGCAAGTCCCTGGCGAGCTTCAAATCCAACGAGTGCCTGGTGAGCGACAGTCCCGAGGGCAGCCCGGCCCTGAGCCCCAGCTGAGGAGCAGCTTGGACATCTGCCACCTTTCCTCAGTCACCCCCATCCAGAGATCTCTGGGGAAAGATGGGCCCCTTGCTTCAAGTTTATGTTTGCTTCAAGCTGGAGGCAGCAGGGACATGAAGGGAGCTGGTTGGGCCGGAAGCCTAGGATGCAAAGGCCCTAAGAAGCACCTTGGGGACTCTTGCTCCTTCTGGTGGCCCTGGTGCCCAACTGGCTCTCTGCTGGATGCTTTCCTTTGCTCATTCTGCCCCCATCTATAGCTGGTGACCCAGCCTCGGCACCCCACCTCCCACACATCTCAGTCCATGTACCCCCTGGCGCAACTCCTTCCTCAGTCTCCTCAACAGGGGCTCTGCTGATGGGGCCAGGCAAATAAAAACCAGAGACCAAGGGCAGTCTGGAGTCCTGGTGTGGCGCTGTGGGTTAATGCACTAGACTGCAAAGTCGGTTAGATCCACAAAGTCAGTGGTTCAAGCTTAGCAGCCACTCCTCAGAAACCCTATACAAGCTGTTATGGGTCAGAACCAACTTGACAGCACTTAACAAAGGCAGTCTGGTCTATGGGGGCTGGGACAGGGCCTTCCTGAGGTCACTAAAGGGCCAGTGAAGTCAGGTGACATCCCTTTCAGAAGCAGTCTAGATGCCCAGGGGCTGTGCACAGAGCTAGGCGGAGACATGAAGTGCCCCCTGACACCTTGCTGGAGTCAGGAGAGCAGTGGCAGGCAGATCCTCGCCCGGACTTGTTTATTCCATCACCCTGAGCAAGTCAGCTTCGGTGGCACGTTAGAGCCTCCCCCTTCCTAGGTTGTCACTTAAATGTGCCCAGTAGGAGTGGTCTCACCACCTTCCAACCTGGCTCCAATAAGGTGGACTCTCCCTGAGGGGTTTTCCCTCCCAGTTCCCCACCCTGGTCCTGGGTCCAGCCCTTGGGTTCTAAGGTATGTTTGTGTGTGTGTGTGTGTGTGTGTGTGTGTGATCCTCTAATGGGCATGGCCTTGGGCAGCCCAAACCAGCATCATTGCCCACCCCACTTCCCCACACCCTACCAGCAGTCATAGACAGTTGATAAAAGTTCATCATCTTTAGACATCAGGAATTAATGGACACAGGGGTTTTGACTCCTGGAGGCAGACCCAGTTACAGCAAACATACATGGAAACGAGGGTGTGAGCAGGCAGCAGATTTGGCCTTGAACTTGGGGGGGAGTGAGAATGCTGAGTCTTGGGTGGGAGCAGCAGGAGGAACCACATCCGAGGTCCTGAGGGCCCTGAGGTGGGAAGGGATGCAGGGCCCCGCTCCTGCTCCTCAGTGCTGAGGGAAAGGCACTTGGCTCAGTCTCCTCTGGCCCTGCACCCCCATCTCTGGAAGAGATGGGGGTCCTCAGCCCCTGGCCCCTTTCGAGGGCCCTGTAGTTAGTTGTTCCTGGTTGAGTTTCTGGAAGAAGCTTTTGCCGAACTCATAGGTGCTGATCATGATGGCACAGGAGGGGGCAGCCTTGATGATCCTCGGGAGGAAGCCTGAATCGGAGTTTGGGGGGCAGGTCAGGGGTAGAGGCCCCAGGGCCCAAACCTACCCAGGGCATGGACACATACCTGCAAAGAGTCCCTTAGTGCCCGATTCGGCCAGGATCCTCCTCAGCAGCAGCCAGGTGGAGTCGACATGTGGGGGTCTCACTGTAAGGGCAAGGCATGCCACTCAGAGTCCTTCAGGCCCCCACCTGCCCCTCCATGCCGGCCTGGCCCCTCACCTCTCATAGCCTCCATTGCTCCCAGAGCAACCTGGCGCTGAGTCTTCACCACGTCAAAAGGCAGAGTCAAGATGGCTGCCACCTGGTGAGTGGGAAGAGGATTTGGCTTCATTCTCAGGAGCCCACCCCTGAATCCAGTCTACGAAGGCAGCTCCCCACCGCTGCTCAGATGTAGCCCTGTTTCACAGACAACTCCTCCCTGAATTTCTACCAGCTCCAAGACAACCCCCAAGGCCTCACCCTACCACTGTCAACTCACCGTCCCTGAGATGCCACCAGCCACAAAGCTGATGCCCACGGAGGTCTGGTCCTTTGGTCTGGGTCCACTGAGCCAGTTCTTCATCAGCTCGTAGTTGAACCAATAGAGGGCTTGGGAGACGGGGCTCATGAGAAAGGTGGGCACTGAGCAGGCCCAAAATGCCCCTTCTCCCCTGACTATCATAACGACATAATTCCTAGAGACACTCTTCCAGGAATTAGCTCAGAAAAGATTATACCACCAGCTGAGCCCATTTCACAGATAAGAATCTGAGTCTCATCATTAACAATGGGCTACAGATTCCTTAGCATCTCCAGAGGGCTCCCTTGCAGCACCCTCTGCACCCCTGGGTGCCTACCTGAGAAGGGAACATCCCGAAGGGCAGTGGGCCCCCAGCCCAGCCACAGGGAACGCCAGCCTCCCTGAGCCACCGCGGTCTGCACAGAGATGCCCAGCTCCCGGTAGGACACATGCTGAGCCTGCAGCTTTGTCCGTACCAGTTCCAGGGGGCTGACGACAGTCACAGTGCCCACTGTGGGGGAGACAAGACACAATAGAGAGCCAGGTCCCAGAGTCTAGGGGCCTAGGGCATGTCCCCCCCACCTGGCAGAGGTTGAGTCTGGGAACCAGGACTGGGCTTACTTAGACTTGGGTGGGGACAGAGGGAGACCAGGGGACTGGGCTTATGCTCACAGCGGGCCAGCGTGCCAGCCACCATTGGTGCATAGAGGTCAGAAGTCAAGGCTCGACCACACAGGAGAGTCTTGAGTTGGTCATAGGCGGTGAAGTAGATGGCAGTGGCTGGTACAGTCATCACCCTGAGGTGTGCACAGTGTCTTTAGTCTTCCCTGAATATTCTGAGTCTCCCCAGAATCCTCCTGCCCCACCCAGCCAACTGGGAAGGGAGGGATCACAGGGGTCCAGAGGATCCTCACAGGGTGGCCGGGAGGCCGCTCCACAGGGTCCTGGTGCCCTCATGCCGCACAATCTTCACAAAGGCATCCTGGTCAGAAGGGGACAACAGGAAGGCCTGTGATGGGGGCTGGCCCTGGCTCACTGGCTAGGCCTCCACCCACAGCCCTGGGTCCCACTGCAGCCTCTCCCGGCTCCGCACATGTAGATTTCCATTTGGCTTCAGGGAGCCCCCTATCTTCTCTTGAGAAGTTTCTGTGAAGATGGACCTGGCCTCCACTACTCAATCTTTCCTAGATCAGCTGCGAGCCCTCGACCCCCAGAATGTCTGTGGGTCCATCCCAGGGCTCCACTGCTCACCATGGTGCCAGTGAAACGGGTAGGATCCTGAAACCAGGTGGTACAACGGGCACTGTTTGGGCACAGGTAAAGGGGCTCCAGGACCCCATTGCAGTACAGGAGGCACTTCCCTGTGGGTTGGAGAGAGGCGGGCACTGGGGGAGAGGAGAGGGCATTAGGATGACAGGGCGCTGGACCCAGGACAGATGTGGTGGCTCCTATCTGGGGAAAGCTAGCAAAGCCCGGCGTTCCTGGGTGGGTAGATGCTCATGTGATCCACAAAGACGGCAGACACACCTGGAGGCATATGCTAGGTCTGTGGGCGACTGGGATACTCCCTCTCCCCTGGGTCCTCCCTTCCCCAGGTCCCCCTCTAGGCTCCCCAAGGTTTGGAACACTCACATTTGGTGTAGGAGACACGCCAAAGTCTAGAAGGAGCCGTCATTTCTAAAACACAAGGCAGCCCCTAGAGTCAGGCACAGGGTGACTCCAGCTCCCTGTGTCCTGGGCTTGCCCAGGTACCACTCCCTGCCGCAGCACTCACCGCAGGCCACTGAGGGGCGGCGCTGGGACTGCAAGCGCACCTTCACCACGTCCAGGGGTGTCACTGGAAGAGGGCAGTTCAGAACGCTCCTTTCAGGACCCCATTCTGACTTCACCCCAAAACCAAGTTCCCTACTCTCCTGTTTAAGTCACTTTCAACTCTGACCCCCAGTCCCCACCTGCTCCTACCCCCACTACCCTAAGCCTTACTGAAGAGGGAGGTGACCACAGCTCCAGCCCCGGAAGCCACCATTTGCTGGAGAGGGCTAATGCCCCCAGGGTCCTGGGCAGCCATCTTGTGGTTCCGATCCTGGAAAGCAAACCTGAGTCACATGGGGCACCAATCAGAACAGGGCTACTGGGAGGAGAACCGAGGCAGGGGCTCTTTGGGGCGCCAACCAGACCCTCCACCCTCGCTGAAGCAGGAGCTACTTCAAGTAACTCTCTCAATAAACGTTTAAAGCAACTACTGTCAATTCTGCTTTGCCAAGGGGGAAACTGAGGTTCTGAGAGGTGAGGCGACCTGCCAAGGTCACTTCAGAAGGAACTGGGCAGGAAGTGAGCATAGTAGGCGGGTAGGCCTGGAGGAACATAGACCAAACGCAATGTATCATTGCCGCAGCACTCGGCTGCTGGGCACCTAAGCCTGGGCGCAGGGCTTGGCTCCGACGCCCCAAAGACAGCAACACCTAGACCAGCTCACCCCTCACTCCAGCCCCCAGCCCCGGGCCGGGCACAGGCGAGCGCCGAGTCACCGGGTTGGAGAAGCGGCCCGGGCAACGAGTAAACAAAGCTGACGGCGGTCACAGGCCCGCCAGCCTTCTTCGGGTGCGGGATGCGGCGCCTGGCCGGACGGGAAGGGCTCTCTCTGCCCTCTCTTCCCATGACACAGGCCGAGGGCTAAGCTACGGGGCGGGAAGGCGCGACGGGGCGCAAAATAGCACCCAGTCGGCCCTCCTGGCCCCGGCCCCGCGCGCAGGGGGCGCCGGTGGGGCAGAGAGATCGATCAGATAGCCCGCACCTCCCGTCCCGGTCCCGGCTCAGAGTCCGCGGAATCTCAGAGGCCCAGCTCCGGTCTCCGCCCCCAGCCAGGCTCAGTCCCGGTCCAGTCCTGCCCACCTGGGTCTAGGCCGGTGTTCGCGCGGCGCGGCGCCCGGGACCGGGCGGGCGCATAGCGGCTCCGCGGCCGGTGCAGGGTCCGCGCGCGCTCGCCGTGCACGGAGGCCTTCACCGAGAGATGCCGAGCCGGCCCCGCCTCCGACCTCGCCACTAGGCCCCGCCTCCCGAGCTCACTGCGGGCCGACGGGTCGCATGTCCGGAGTTTCGCCGGCCCCGCCCACTCGCGTTCTCACTCTCCCTCCCACCTCTCCAATCTCGCGTCAAGTGCGCGTCTTCCTGTTTGGCCCCGCCCCCTCAGGCCAAGCACCTAGAGCAGAGCACTAAGTTACTTTGGCTTTGGTGCGTCTTAAGTTCCCTGACTTGGTTCCGACTCATAACATCTCTATACAAGGTTTCGGAGGAGTGGTTGGTGGGTTTGAACTTTCACACCTTGTGGTTAACAGACCAGTGCTTATCCTACAGCGCCACACCAGGACTCCCCAGTCAAGTTTTGTTAAGTGGTGTGGAGTGGGCTCCAACCCATAGCTACCCTGTAAAGGGTTTCAGAGGAGCTGGAACCACCCATCTTGCAGTTCAAACGACTTTGCAGTCTGACGCATTACCCCACAGCGCCACACCAGGACTCCCCAGAAAAGTACAGAGCAAGCTAAAAACAGGAAGACCCTCAAGAAGATGGATTGACACAGTGGCTGCCAAAATGGGTTCAAACGTGGCAAAAATTAGGAGGATGGTTCAGGATCTGGCAGTACTTCATTCTGTTGCTATAAGTGGGAACCGACCCCAGGGCATCTAACAACTACTGTTCTCATAAACCCCACCCCAGGGTTGCCCTAGGAGGGAGTCCCATGCCTTACACCCATCACCCTTCCGAACTTTCTGGAGCATCCAACTACAAGATAGGATTGAAAGGGTAGGCATTTTTGGTTGGCTGCTTTATCGTGTGATGCTATAGGATAGGCACTGGATCACAAGGTCGGTTTGAACTGCAAGGTTGGCAATTCAAATTCACCAGCCGCTCTTCTGAAACCATATGAGTTAGACTGACTGGACCAACCGCACTTAACAAAACTGTGTGTTGGTTGGTCACTTCACATCACTATTTCTCCTAAGTCTCACCTCAAAACTTAGGTTGTTGGTATTAGGTGCTGTGAGGTCCACTTTTGACTCACAGGAACTCCATGTGACAGACTCAAACAGCCTCATAGGGTTTTCTCAGTGGTAATCTTTTCATCTGTTTTTTTACTTCTTATTGTAAATTAATTGAGTGCAAGGTTATGAGCAGATCATTAGTTATATATCCAATAAATCATGCACTGCTGTTCCCTCAACGGAACATTACTAATCCTGCTTCCTCCCTGGGTTTCTTGGTTCCACTCCTCCTTCTCGCTCCACCCTTCTGAACTTTGTCCGAGGTAAAAGCCTTCTTGGTGGTTAACCATCTATGGTGTGCACACCTCATTAGTGTTGTTCCCCTTACATACCTATCTGTTGCTTGGTTGAAAATTGAGCCAGGGGGTGAGTTCAGTTCCAGACCAGAAGGGTGACCAAGGGCCAGAGTCTTGGGGTTCCTGCAGTTTCTATCTGACCAGTAAGCCTAGTCTTTTTTTGTGATTTTGAGTTTTGTTTCTCATTTCCTCCCACTCTATATCACTTTCTAAGGAGAACGCAGTGGCTCCATATAATAAGCACTGGATTGTGAACCACAAGATCCATAGTTTGTGCCCACTAGTCACTCTCTGGGAGAAAGTGAGGCTTTCTGCTCCCTAGGAGACCTTATAAACTCATATATGCTATGAGTTGGAACCAACTTGATGGCACTTTAAAACAGCAGCATCACTTCATGTGATCTCTTCCGGTTGGTAGTGGTACCCAGGGTCATCCAGTTCTTCTGGTCTAAGGGTAGCGTGGAGACTGGTGTTCATGTGGCCCATTAGTCCATTGGACTCATTGTTTTCAAGCATCTTCAATTCCCAACATTATTCTTTCCTCCAGACACAGAGAGACCAATAGTTACACTATAGATGGCCGCTCATGAGCTTTTAAGATTCCAGTGACTGACTGCTCATCAAAGTTGGATGAAAAGCGTTCTCTTTGTGACTATGTTATGCCAGTTGACCTTGGTGTCCCCCAACATTATGATCCTGAGCCTCAGGCCCAGCAACACATTCCCTTAAAGTGTTTGGTAAAATCTAAGAAGTATTCATAATTTTGTTCCCTGTATGCTGTGGCACTGTAGGATAAGCACTGGACTGCTAAGTGCAAGATTGGCGGTTCAACCCAACAAGCGCTCCTTGGAAATCGTTTACAGGGTCACTATGAGCTGGAATTGACTGGACAGCACTTAACAACAACAACAACAATATTCTACCACATTTATGGGTATGTTTGCAGCAAAGGTGCAAATATCTGGCAAACCTTTATATATATGTGGGTATACGCCCACTCTCCTGCCTACACTCGTTCAGCCTGCGTATATATCCACGTGCAGGTGATGGCTGTGTGCTGTGGAGTCGGTTCCAACTCAAAGCAACCCTACATAGGGTTTACAGGGTTGTAAATCTCTATGGGAGCAGAAAGCCTCATCTTTCTCCTGGGAAATGGCTGGTAATTTCGAACTGCTAAACTTGAGGTTAGTAGCCCAACTCTAACCACTAGCTCCTCTCTATGTCCAAGTTGTTGTTGT